ATTGTTTAAGTTGCCGGAGCCGATGGCCGTCTTCGGTGGAGAGGTGGGGGGAAGGTGGTGTAGTGGAATGATAGGATGAGGTAGGTGATGTGGCATCAGTATAAATAATTAATGTATATTATATTATATTTTAATATTTAATAAATTTATTTACCACCAGATTTTTGAAATATTTTAATGAATTTGTTATTTGTGAAATGTGATCTTTGAAATTATGAGTTTTGTATTGTTTTCAAAATAAATGCAATCAAACATACCCTCAATATTTTTCTGAATCCAGACACAAAATAGGATATATAGCGAAGATGCCCGTGAAAAAATAGTTGGACTTGCCAATTTGAAGAGAAAAGCCCATACCTTACTTCACTTTTGGGCTTGCGGCCCAAAATGTTGGGCCCACTCGAGGCCTATGGTACTGTAACCCAACTAAAAAGTAGAAACTTTTGCTGGTCAGGTTAGATACCCAACTTAGGTAGCATGTGTAATTTGAAGTAGGACTGTAAGCATAAATAGTCAACATGCGTTGAAACTATATTTACGAAAAGTTAACATTTCGATTTTGACTTGAAATAAATCGTTCTAAAATAGTTTGGTTTAAATTTCGATCATTGAAATGCAAAATGTTTTCTTGGGCCCGTCAAAAATTGGCCTTCCATTACAAAAACATAATGGAGCTTGACTGAAAGTTCCACCTGTCGAGCATGTAAGAAATTGATCTTAGCGATCAAATAGTATCGAGTGAAAGAGTCGCCACTCAACGAATAAAAGTTACTCTAGAAATAGCAAGCTGCTCTTTTCCAATAGATCACTTTGAAGAGAAGGTTTGACACCTCAATGTCGGTTTTTCACCACGTGGGATTGTAGTATTTAAAGTGGTATGTGAATACGAAACCAAATCATTATAGTATTAAAAAAAAAAGATTTAGATTTTTTATTAAATGCTTCAAGGCCAAAAAAAACAAAGCTAAATTTTCATCTACTTAATTATAAGATTTACAGTAAATTAATGATAAAGTTATGCTAATCAAATGACTAATTAAATGACCAAACATTCNCACCACGTGGGATTGTAGTATTTAAAGTGGTATGTGAATACGAAACCAAATCATTATAGTATTAAAAAAAAAAGATTTAGATTTTTTATTAAATGCTTCAAGGCCAAAAAAAACAAAGCTAAATTTTCATCTACTTAATTATAAGATTTACAGTAAATTAATGATAAAGTTATGCTAATCAAATGACTAATTAAATGACCAAACATTCTGATTGCCACATGCTAATTGCCAAACAATGTCATATCAAACAAGTGACAAAACATAAGCAAGCTATAGATTTTCTCAACCCATCAAATAAGTCTTTTCATTTTTCTTATATTATTTAATTGAACTTTGTGAAAAATAGTATTCTTTATGAAAATCATTAGTGAATCTTGCTAGTTCGCTTTGTCTTGCATTCGTTCTCTTCCAATTGGTAACATCTCTTTCATAGTTGAGAATATTTCTTTATTTTTCAAATTTGAGATATAAATTGAAGTATTTTCGGGATTGGAGGAAAATTTTCTTTGAGAATCTCTAAGACTGCAGGTTTTAAACAAAAGCAAATCGCAAATTATGGTTTGATTTGTGATTTGGTTTGGAAATTTACAAAACTATTTAAACTAGTTCGATTTGAAAAACTCAAAAGCACAAAAAATTGAACTGTTTACACCCCTAATTTGAGGAAGAAATAACACAGAATTTTTCAAATGGAGACTGCGTGAAGTCAAATGATAACCTTGCAGGTGTGCTGAGCAAAGGGTAATATCATGAATTAAAAAATAAAAAATTGAATTGCAGATCGATATAAATAAATAGAAATCCGAAAAGTGACTTGGAGATTGCTGAGTGTATTTTCTTGCTATTTAACCTGATGTTCTATAAGTTCCGAAATTGATGGTAGCTGTATAAGTGAGCCATTATAGTTGAGTGACTAAACTAATAATCTAATACGATTGTCAATATGATCAGTGAATGTAAATGCCTAGGATTTGTGATCATTGTTGTATAATCCCCTATTTGTAAATATGGTTGCAATTTGCAAAAGATGGCCTTATCCGTAAGAACGGAACTTAAAAAATAGTTTGATCTAATTTTCTCCTTTTTTTTACTCTTAGATTGTGTTTGATTGACATGAAAAATATATCATAAAAAAGAAAATATTTTCCTTATTTTGAGGAAAGCAAAATCCTGCTCCCGTAAAGAAAATGTTTTCCTTAAAAATACGGAAAATTATGTATATTTTTAAAAGTTGAAAAAAATAGCAATCAAACACTTCAAAATAAGATTTTGAATAAAAATTGGTATTTTTCATGAAAAATAAATGCAATCAAACACACTCTTAGTATTTTTTTGAATCCAGTCACAAAACAGGGTATATAGCTAAAAGGGATAATTAGACCTATTACCCTCCAAAAATAACAAATTAGAATAATACCCTCAAACTAATTAAGATTTTTTACTCCCGTAATAAACACGCTTAAAACCCATCTGAACAGATAGGTGCGTTTGCTGAAGACAGAAGCACAAGCATTGTAGACTCTAACAATTTGAAGCAAGAGATGCAACGAAGCCAACCACATGTTACCAGGCCAGCATCTAACTGCCATAAAAGGTCTCCAGTGCCTCAAGTCAAATTCCAGCCCATTTACTCAGACAAGGGCTCAAGGCTCTATTAATTCTCTCTCACTTGGCAATGTAGATGGGAAAAGCAAGGAGATGGAATCTAATGTTGAACTTGATGTAGAGCCAATTTTTTCAGAAAGGGACGTGTTAGATCAGATATCAGAAGACGAAACTTCTGAAATTTTTGAAATCAACAATGATGATGCGGAAGAAGTGAACCCGATCATAGCCAATCTAAGTGGAATGAAGCTCTCTGAGTTGAGAGCTCTTGCGAAATCTCGAGGTTTGAAAGGATTCTCAAAGATGAAAAAACAAGTGCTCATTGAGTTACTAAGTGAAGGCTCAATTTGATCTCCAATCCTGCAGTAAGCAGAAAACTTTGAATAAATCTTAGTGTGCTGAAATTTTGTCCACTTGTTCTTTTGTTATTATATACTCTGTCACTTTTGGCTTTTGCAAGATCTTTGATTTTCTTTTAAAACCTTCTAAATAGATTTGTTGTGGTGGACAAGGGAAAAAAAAAGTTTTTGTTTTTTATATTTAAAAAGGTAATTGTATGAAAAATCATGAGGGTCTATAAATGTTGAATAGTAAACTATGAATTTCGAGAGTCTAATTTGATTGGTTTGCCTTCATGAAAGCTAGCGATGTGTGAAATTGAATAATTTTATCGTCATCTCGTCTTAAATTAAACAAATAGACTGAAAACAATTGCTATTTCTAAACTTCTATCCAAAGTCTTAACAGAGTAAAATAGATATTAATTTTTCAACGAGAAAATCACCATTATACTATTTCTATCACTTTTTTTAGTGTTTGTCACAAATTTTTTTTTATTTCATCACTTTTTGAGAATTTGTCACTTTTTTTGAATGTGTCACTTTTTTGAATTTTGTCACTTTTTAGTGTTTGTCACTTTTATATTTTCTATCACTTTTTTTTAATACGTGTAACTTATTTTTTTAATTTGGGTCACTTTTTAAAAATTTTTGTAACTTTTTAAAATTTTGTCATTTTTTTTAGTATTTGTCACTTTTTTGAATTTTTTAAAATTTTTTTTTAGTGTTTATCACTTTTTTTTTTCAATCACCTTCTTGATTTCTATCACTTTTTATAGTGATAAATATCATTTTTTTAGTAAAAGTGGCATTATATGTAATTTATTATAAAAAAGTGATACTTAACTTTTAAAAGTCACATTGTCTCACTTTTTCGTATTAAAAAATGACATTATGTCGCCTTTTCATTTTACATAGTATTTTTTATTTTTTAAAAACTTTTCATATGATTTTTCAAAAGGGTAATTCGCAAAACGTCCATACCTTTGACGATTTTTGTGGAAAACGTCCATACCTTTGATTTTTTGGCGCATAGCATCTCTACATTTCACATTCTTTGCGGTGAACATCATTTTCACCAATTTTTAACATAAAACGACCAATATACCCTTCTGTTTAAATAAAACAAAAGAAAAGGAAAGAAAAATAAAAAATGAATTGTAACTATATGCTCAAGCTTTTTAAAAAGTGCAAATAACCCACAAAACTTCACATTCTTTGAAAAATTATAACTTTACCCTTAACCTATAATTGCATGAGGGTCTCCACAATTTAATAAATTGCAGGGGAAGCCCTCGTCTCCAAATTTGACCAGCCTGTGAAGAAACCTGGCAGCTTATGGAGCCAACTGCTTCTACTCCAACTTCGACCACCATACCACCGGACAAACTACCGGATTTTTAAACCACCAACATCTCCTCATCCACTCTACAATCTCATACTAAAAATCGGATTTTCTTTTCTTTTTTTTTTCTTTTCTTTTGTTTTATTTAAATAGAAATGTATATTGGTCATTTTTTGTTAAAAATTGATGAAAAGGATGTTCAGTGTAAAGAATGTGAAAGGTAGAGATGTTATGCGCAAAAAAGTCAAAGGTATAGACATTTTCTACAAAAAAGGTCAAAGGTAGGAACGTTTTGCGCCAATTACCCCTTTTCAAAATATTACTAATTTTAAGGGTATTTTTGTAAGAACCCATAGCTAAAAAGCCTGTGAAAAAATAGTTGGACTTGCCAATTTGAAGAGAAAAGCCCATACCTTACTTCACTTTTGGGCTTGCGCCTAAACTTTGGGCTCACTCGAGGCCTTTGGTAAAAGTAGAGACTTTTGCTGGGGCAGCTTAGATATCCAACTTAGTGTAATTTGAAGTAGGACTGTATGCATAAATAGTCCATGCGTTGAAACTATATTTACGAAAAGTTAAACATTTCGATTTTGACTTGAAATAAATTGTTCTAAAATAGTTTGGTTTAAATTTCGATCATTGAAATGCAAAAGGTTTTCTGGGGCCCATCAAAAATTGGCCTTCAAGTACAAAAACATGAGGGAGCTTGACTGCAAGATCCATCCGTCGAGCATGTAATACTTATGAAGGAAGGCTCTCTTGGGGTCAGGAGTATAAAGGGTGTACAGACCTTAGTCAACTTGGGCATATCCTGCGATTAACCTCCACCCATCACTGAGGGGCCGGGAATGGGTGGTCCAGGACATAGTTTGATGTAAGTGGGGATGAGTGGTCCAGGACATAGTTTAGGGTAAGTAGGGATACCTGGATATCAAAAAAAAAAAAAAGGAAGAAATTGATTTTAGGGATCAAATAGTATCGAGTGAAAGAGTCGCCGCTCAACGAATAAAAGTTACTCTACAAATAGGAGGCTGCTCTTTCCCAATAGATCACTTCAAAGAGAAGGCTTGACAACTCGATGTCGGTTTTCACGACATGAAATTGTAGTATGTAAAGCAGTATGTGAATAAGAAACCAAATCATTATAGTATTAAAAAAAACAATTTAGATTTTTTGATTAAATGCTTCAAGGCCCAAAAACAAAGCTAAATTTTCATCTACTTATAAGATTTACAGCAAATTAAAGATAAAGTTTTGCTAATCAAATGACTAATTAAATGACCAAACATTCTGATTGCCAAACAAGGTCATATCAAACAAGTAACAATACACAAGCAAGCTATAGATTTTCTCAACCCATCAAATCAAGTCTTCTCATTTTTCTTATATTATTTAATTGAACTTAGTGAAAAATAGTATTCTTTATGAAAATCATTAGTGAATCTTGCTTGTTTGCTTTGTCTTGCACTCTCTTTCCATTGGTAACATCTCTCTCATAATATTTCTTTATTATTTAAAATTGAGATACAAATTGAAGTATTTTCGGAATTGGAGGAAATTTTTCTTTGAGAATCTCTAAGACTGCAATTTTTAAACAAAACAAAATCGCAAATTATGGTTTGGTTTGGAAATTTACAAAACTATTTAAACTAGTTCGATTTGAAAAACTCAAAAGCACAAAAAATTGAACTGTTTACACCCCTAATTTGAGGAAGAAATAACACAGAATTTTTCAAATGGAGACTGCGTGAAGTCAAATGATAACCTTGCAGGTGTGCTGAGCAAAGGGTAATATCATGAATTAAAAAATAAAAAATTGAATTGCAGATCGATATAAATAAATAGAAATCCGAAAAGTGACTTGGAGATTGCTGAGTGTATTTTCTTGCTATTTAACCTGATGTTCTATAAGTTCCAAAATTGATGGTAGCTGTATAAGAGAGCCATTACAGCGGAGTGACTAAACTAATAATCTTATAGTTGATGCAATAGCAAGCAGCTCTTCCTCCCTAACTTTTTTCCAAACTCCATCGACCATCAGACGACCCATAATCCCTTCGAAGTGAGTATCATCCTTATGGTATGATTCACGATCTACTTCATTCTCCTTTACTTTCTTAATAAATGCGCTATCCAATTCTTCAATCAGACAATCAGCTCCCCTTTTACCACATTGATTTAGTCCCCAACACGTCTCCCCATCTGATACTTTTCGAGCTTCTCTGGGCTTGTCATTGCAGTCGAGAACCGGAAGACGGCCCGAGAAGCCAAGATTGTGAGGGAGCATGCCTATAGGACATGGCTTCCATGACTTCGTAACAACCCATCAGCTATTAACTTCCACATTGGAGCCTGTAGGTTTTACATCAGTGCCCTTCATTTGACGATGTCTGCTTAACTTGAAATTCTCTTCAGCTCGACGAATAAAATCTTCTTGTTCGGAAAGAAGGATCTCAATGCGAGAATCAGAGTTTTCTTCGCTAATGTTGGAATTTGACAACCACAGGGAAGCCATCTTTTTGAGCTTACAAAGAAAAGAGTTGTCTCCTGTCATCTGTACAAGAACAAGGGCCGAATCCATCCGCTTTTTGTTGCCAGGACAAGACAACATAAGACATTTGCATAGTAATCCTTGTAGCGTTGGCAAGTTTGATTCTGCCAGAGAATCTTTACATACTGTATGTTCCTTGTGAAAGGCGGGATATAGTGTCTTGAGATTTCGAACAAGTCATTCAAACAAATAAGCAAGTAGCTCAATTTGGCGAGACTTGGCAAAATTATCCAGACAGTGATGTTCGCCTGATGATCCATAAAACGTATATCAAAGATGAAAACACAACTACATATATATTATCAACTAATCAAAAAATAATAATATGATATCGAACATCATTTTGTGGAAAATAGAAACAAAAAGAAAAACTAATCATAGACTAGTGAACATTATGCTTGAAAAATGTCACAAATAAACCAGGTTACCTATTTCGCATCTCATGATTTCTTTATGTCTCTTATCTTCTCAAGAACAGCGTTAAGGAGGATTAGAAGCAATTCTGGTTTTTTATTTGACAATTTCAACACCACAGATTTCCAGTCATCATATACAGGGCCTGTTTGGTACAAATTTTCATTTTCTACAGCAAATCAATTCTCATTTTCAACCACACATTTTTCAATAAAATAATATTTTCCATCACATCAATAATTTTTTCTTCTTTTTCAACCAGACATTTCCCATCATATTACTATTTAAAATCAGTTCTCACACATTTTTCAATAAAATAATATTTTTCATCACGTCAATACTTTTTTCTTCTTTTTCAACCACACATTTCCCATCATATCACTATTCAAAAATCAATTCTTCCCCCAAAAATCCCTACCAAACACACTCACAGTCTGCTGCTTTTCATGGCCGATTTGCGGTTCCACCGCAACTTCTGTAAAATCTGAGGAATCTGAGGCCTTCAGCAAGAATTCCAAGAGAATATATACCACTTCTGAAGAAAAGGAAGTATACAACCGAAGAATATTTTTCAATGATTTGGTAACCTGCTTCTTAGAACCTGAAACAAATAGCCACCACCGACACAGACATTAAAATCCTATTTGATTAGTGTTATTTCTAAAGATATGCATAAAAAAATTAATGACTTACCAAGAAACATAATCATGGGGGAATTCAGTATAGAGATAGAGGTGACGACAAAGGATACTGATAAATGCAGTGTTCTAAAAGGTATGGCCTAGACATAAGGTATGCAGTGTTCTAAAAGACAGCGCGTAGACGTAAGGTATGAAGAAGGCAGACACGTGGAGGCGTGGAAAAGTTGGTGAGCTTTATTTAACTACCTATGCAGCCTAGGAGGCGAAAAACATGACTAATGAAAGCTTAGGTTTTGGTGTGACTAATGCAAGCATAGGCACAAGGCGTGAGCCTTTTTTTTAATTTTATTTATTAAATTAAATAAACTAATCAAGTAAAAGGAACTATTATTAATAATCTTAAAATAATTAAAAATAAGGAAACACCTTAGCCTTTGCTTGAGCCTCATTTTGTTGAAAAATAGAATTTGTAATAGTGATTTTTTGGAAAATGTGTGGCCAAAAAGTAGGAAAATTTTTAGATTTACGTGTAAAATTATTTTTTTGGGAGAATGTGTGGTTGAAAATAAGTTCGAATAAAAATGAGTTTAGAAGTAATGGGGCTCAAACAAGGGCTTATTATGCCTCAGCTCATAAGGATTGAGGCCAGGCCTTGTCTCGTTACTACACCTTATGGCTTTTAGAACCTTGAATTCAAGAAAAGAAAGAATACTATGATAATGTTTTGGCTAAGCAATTTTACTAATAAGTAAATATGTAAGTTTTAAAATAAGAAAGTTACTTAGCACCTGTTTAGTTTAGCTAGAAATAATATTTTTAGTAGATTTTGATAGAAGTTGATAAAATGAGTGGTTGAAAAGTTGATGAAAATATATAGTTCCCATGAAACATTTGGTTGAAAATGAGTTTGACAAATTACGAGTTTCAAAAAATGGGGACCAAACGGGGACTTAATTTGATACTAAGATAAGTGTTACTCTGCTCAAAACTAATGTAACTTTAGAGCTGTACATCTTTTACTGACACCCAAACTTCTTGCGACTCAATACCATATAATCCTAATGAAATGCAAGAAATCATCAAACTTAGCAATGCTTGGACAAGAATGTGTGAGAAATTATAGAATTCGTAAAAAAACATAAGTTCTAATTAAGATGAAGATTTACCATCCACAATCTTGTCAGCAATCAATGGAGAATTAAAAAGGGAATCAAATCAGTCCCCACCCCCTCAAATAATTCATTACTCCGAAATTTACTAGACTATTCAGCATCTTGCAATTTCCTTGTAATTCAATTCGAGATTTTGAGCTACAATCACAACAAACATATCAACCATAAAGGCTCCACAAATTTTCGTTTAATAAGTATTACCTGTAATTTTACAATGTGACGTCTTCCCAGCCATAAGAAAGAGAAACTTACTATGCCCATGTAAGTGATCCATTTGTCTAACACCTTCATGTTGGTGTGAAAATTAATGTAATTAAAATCATATGGTCGGTAAACTCCACCATATAAAATTAGGAAACAGGCCAACTATTTCTTAAAACAAAATAAGAGGAAAGTGCAAAACTTGAAGTTGTCACAACCAATATTAATACAAGTTGATTCTGAATACGAAGAAAAAATGTGAACAAAAAAAAAAAAATCTTCAAATTTAAAATTCCATCAAAAGATCAACAAAGTTAAAGGGAAGGGTATATATATATGGCCTATGAACAAAAGGAAATAATTAATTTTTTATTGCGTATTCAATTACTTCAATATAGAAACATGTAACTAAGTTATTTAACTATTTAACAGTACTCTCAACTACTATATCAAATCATTCTAAGGGATTGAATTCAAATATGAAAGGTACCCATCAATGAAAATCTAATGCACATATTTTTAAACACTTGCAGAAGCAATGACAATTAATTACACAAAACCCAAAATTATGGAGTAAAATTGATGACATGAAATCAAGCTTTTATTTGGGTCAAACAATTAAAGACATCAAACTAGTTGACATACGATAAAACACACAAGACAGTAGGCCAACAAATAAAAGAACTCGTTAAAAAGGAGTTTCCATAGCAAAATGTCATGAACTGGATAGCAATACTTGTACAAGATATACTTGAGATTTCTATAGATAAAGAAATAATTTCTATTGATGCAAAAGGCAGCATCATTCAACAAAATGAAGAGTACATTAGACTTACATTTTCCCTTGACTTGTAAAGAATTTGATCTGGTGGTTTGCTTCACTTTAAGAGAGAGAGAAAGTTCACGTAGACTACACTTAATTTCTTTTCTGAGATCGGCAGTTTGATTAACCGGGATGGCCTTTTCTTGAGGTTCCCAATAATATGATTTCAACCAATCAAGTGCCTGAATTATCAAAAACAGATATGAAATTCTTGGTGTGCAGATTTCCAATGCTACAATTAACTCTATTTTTTTAAGATGAAACACGAATTTAATATTTAGCAAGGAGTTGTAGATCCTACTTTAGGCTCTTTCATCACAGATAGTTACCGTGATGTGAGGTCAATATTTTACCACTAAAACACAATCTTCAAAACTTCAGCTGACCAAATTTCAGGTTAATGTGTTTATGTAAAGACTTGTATTTGTTTTTTGTTTGCATGAAGTAAATTGGCTGACAAATCAACAACTCTAATACTATGAGTGATTTTAAAGCATCAAAAAGATCTGTGTCATTTTTACTCGTATATTATAAGAAAGTGAAAAACTAAAAGATCTTCCGTTTTTACAAGAAATAGGCTTCACCTTTTGAGCAAAAAAAAACAATGAATTCAATGAATTTAGATCCAGAATTCATTTATTGAGATATTCTTTAGCTTCTAAACTGAACAATAACTTCTTAAGAAAAGATTTTGCAAAATTTGGAAAAACAATTAGAAAACTACAAAACAGTGGAAATAATTTTAAATTACAAACCGAAACACAGCCAAATTATTATAGAAATAAACATGTCCCATTTCATTCATTCCATCTAGAAACAGTTCTATCCAGGAAATCAATGACAATAAAGACAACAGCTTCAAAAAGGACACCTTTTTTACGCTAGCAGCAAGACAATTCATGAAATATCACCTTCATCGATGCAAGACGAACCAGTTGAAGAGACGGGAGATCACGATGAGAACCCTCTACAAGTTTTTTAACACTCATTAATAACTTTAAATTTATAAGTACGAATCACAAGAGTAGACACGCGGAGAACGATATACCAAAATTTTAAAGACAGAACAAGAAACAAAGGAATGAAAGCAGTTCTGCATAAAAAATCCAGAGAAATTCACCATGACGAATATCAATAAGCATTCTTGGAATGCCAATAGCATTTGCTGCTTCCCCAATTGAAATCTCCGTCTTTTTCCGTGTCTTCTCAACCACACCATTTACAAGCCTTTGGGAAACAAACGAAAAGAGGAAACAATCATTCTTTCAGGGCCAATACATAAATAGAACAATAATTTAATTAAAATAAGAAAAGAATAGGAACCTCATGATCGCCATGCAATATAGCATGGACAGCATTTCTTGTGATTGCAAAGCACCTTCTCTTAAGTCATCTCTACAATCAGCACACAATGTAAGTATGTAACCTTTTGTTTGCAGGCAAGTAATAAATTCAATCAAAAGGATTGAAAGTCACAAAGGAGGTCTTCTTGAAGAATTTAACTCAATAATATCAAGGGGGAAAAGAATCCTTTTTGCTGAATTCAGAATGAAAAGGAAGAAATAAGAGAAGAAAAATTAACATATGTGCAATAGATGTTATGAATAACATTTATCTGCAATCATTTCGAACCCATTTGAGCTCCCTTTTTTTATGAAAAAGCATTTGGAATAATATTTTGATGGAGAATGATGTGCATAAAAATAAGAGAAAAAAATGTATTTTGAAAATAATGGGGACAAAACAAGAGCATAGATAATTTAAAATTTAATGCATTCTAATCATTCGAACTTGGACTAGGAATATGATCGGGTCGTGCTTAGTAAAGAATTAATTTATCTTAAAAAAAGTTAAATACATTAGCTTTATCGATTGTCATGAATGCAAATCGAAACTCGATTATATAATTGAGAATTGAAATAGATGGCTATATACGGACTTTAAATCCAATAAAATCGTCCATAATTTGATACAAACCCTACTTTTACATAATTCTTAGATTAATTTAGAATAATTACAAATCAAAATCTCTTTTGTTTACATAATTCGAATTTCATATAAAGCTAGTAAACTTGAATTGAAATTTATTCTCCGTAAAACAATATTATAAACTCACTAAATTTATGACTTGTCCACAATCCAGCACGCTTGTGGGTTTTACACGAACAATTACTAAAAGGAATAATGAGTATTCTTTTGATGAATTTTAATATAAGAGGATAAAACTCACCTAAAAAAAGGATCTTTCTGTTGAATTTCGATAATGGAAGCAGTAACTTCAATCACCACCGGAATGCACCCTCTACTCCTCCACGTCGATATCTAAAAACCCACCCAAAAAAATAAATCTTTCATAAGACTAAAAATTCCCATAATTTATGTAAAAAAAGAAGACATGATGTTAAAGTATCATATATTTATTCATTCCATATTTACTCTTTGGAGGGCACAGTTTATAGAATCTGGAGAAGACGAAAAGAGGGAGGTTTTAACAAAGTTCCACTCGTCCCAACTAATCCGTGGCACCAGTGACACAGACAGACATTTTGAGTTAAGAGGGTATAGAGCCAAACTTTTACGAGATGGTATCACACCCATATTGCACCTGCATGGATGAAAAACATGTCGGATTTCATTCCCAGTCTTGAGGGACTGTTCAATAATTTACCCAAAAATATAAACAACCAAAATAATCAAATCTACGATATTTTTGACTAATTTTCGTTAAAATGTGTATCAAAAGTAAACATTTATGAATACAGAACAATTTAATTAGCTTTCTAAAGCCCCTTAAACCAGCATTCAACTTCAAGGCATTAGAATGTATTGAAGTAGCACAGTTTGAAGTTACTATGATCATCAATAACAAATTTCAATCTGGTAAAACATTTAAATATTGATAGAAACTAACACCTCTAGCTTCAATGCTGAGTTCTCTCAAAAAAACTATCACTGTTGTCTGTTGTAGTTTAAAGGGGGAGAGAGTAGAACTCTTCAGATTCATATGCCATCAAACATACGCAATTGTCAAACCCTCACGCAGAAAAGAAGAGTTTATCTTTATCTACAGCGTCTCTTTTCCAAAACCATTTGATGCCAATCTCAAATTTCAGGAGTAGAAACTAACTTAAATAAGTCTAGAGACTATTTGATAATTGCAGCAGGATCCAAATTAATCACTCAAAGTATGCAAATAATTTTCAGAAACATAAAAGCAATTCTGAAAATAAACTACTTAATTGAGGTTAGAGACCGGGGATCTGTTTGGCTTGGCTAACCTCGGAATAAGAAAATAGATAGGCACTACACTTCAAAAAATAATTAATTTTACTGTACAACAGCAAACGTTAAAAAAAAAAAAATTGCACACTAATTCCATCAATTTCTATGAATTAAGAAGCATTCAGTCATTAACCAATGTTACAGGAAACAAATTCTAGGAACTAACAACCATTAATTCGTTTGTAATCGTATTTGAAGAAAACAAATTCGAAGAACCAATAAATTTATATAATCAACATATTCCAAGCATGTACAACCAAGTCCAATTGGCCAGTAAACAGTTTTGAAGGAAACAATCACTTAGCTTCTAATTTCTAAATTTCTAAACAATCACTTAGATGTGGTGAGGGAGAGGGATTTAAAGAATTAGAAGGGTTAGGGTTTTACCTTTGGTAACAGGCAACAGGGTCCGACGCGGACGAGAGTCGGCGCCGGTGTTAGAGCAGGGGCGAACGGTGAGGGGTCGGAGGACCGGACAGGAGAGCAGGCGGGGGGAGAGAGAGTCGGGCTGACAGTGAGGGAATTAACGCCGAGACTGCAGCTGAGAGAAAGCTAGGGCTTTTTAGAAATCTGATTTTTACGTATTAAAAAAAAAAAGGCAATTTTTTCTAAGTTGTGAACCCCCACGACACTCCCTGCAAGGCACTAGCTTGAAGGCTTTGTGGGATTTGTTATCTACGACGTCGTCTTGTTGGGGTTCCTTAAACCCTAATAATAGGACTCTATCTTCAGATTATTCCACGAACCAGAACAGATAACAGATTACTGACAGAGAAGGTTTTAGGGAAGACCGGTGTTTCAAGTGCCGTACCGGTCTAAGGCAGAAAAATTTCATTTCACCCCTTATGGTTATTGGAATTTGCGAATTTGAAGAGTTTTTTTTGCACTTCTCATCCCCAACTTTTTAAAATACTAGTTTTTCCCCTTCCGATGTACGGGTTTGGTTGTATTTTAGGCATCGTTAGCATTTCAAATGAGTTCAGTCATGTATTTATAGTTAATTAGTCATTAAAAATCAATGTAGAAAAAAATTTGTCTGTGACAAATAATGATCAAAGAATGAATAGTTGAAATGATGAAGCCAGAAAGACACTTCCACTCAGGCATCTTCATAGTACAAAGTCGAGTCACGACTATAATTACTTAACGTTCAAGAGAATTTAACATAATGAGATTTCCAATTGACAAATAATGGATAAAAGTGATACCTGAGAGTTAGGCTTTTTAATTTTTTGCAGATTTGTATGTTGCAAATTGGAGAATATTCGCTAAAACAAGTTGTGAGTCCGATTTGCCAATGAAAATCAACCAAATTCCATGTTCTCTCCCTAAGTTCTAGTAAGCCCCAATGAATATCTGTTTCATGCTTGGATACATAAGGCCGCAAACAGGTTTCATATACATATCCCGCCCCCTATGTTATACAAGGAAATATTCGAGAGAATATGAGCAAAATTCTATCCAGTATTAATTTGAAGAAGTAAAATGGAAAAAGGTTTTACCTTTGTTTTCGGATACCACAAGTAAATAACCTACCTTTGAACTCTAAATGTATAAATACCTTTGTACGATTTAAAGAGATCTTTATCGTATTTTACACCAAATGAAGTAAAAGCAAAATGATTGTTATACCCCCGTGAAAGATTTTTGAAGTCCATACATGTAACTTTGTTAGATGTAAACATATCATAGAATTCAATAGGTGAATCATGTATAAAAATTTTTACTTTTCCATCGTGACAACAAAATCCTTTACCTTCTCTGTAAAATTTTCATGCAACACAATATTGGCAGTCGGGAGATTAAAGTAATACATGTGGAGCAAGTGGTATGTTTGATAAAGCAAAACTTCTTTGTGATTTAGAATGCAATTGAATATTTGATTCCCGATTTAGAATAGGAACTTCAACTTGAGAATCAGCTGCATATGGGAAGGCGGAATTGATTTGATCTGACAACGTAGAATTAGTTATCCTTTTACGACGATCAATTTGTCGAGTTTGAGTTTGTTTTCTCCTATCTGTCTGTCATTGCATTTGTTGGTGGTACATCGAATCAACATATGGTTCCATTGGAATTGTGACAGCAGGTGGATTTTGAAAAGTATCGTTTATGTTGACACTATGTTTTTCATTACTAGACAAGGTATAATCTATCTTCAGTAAATCTTCAACTTCATTGTAATAGGGAAAGGAAACCATCAACAAAAATGTATGGGAACACTTTTTCAATATGACTACAATATGTGTTAACAAGAAACGAGGCGTGGGAAGAAAACTTACCTGATTATAGGGAGGAACTCGATCGCAAATCACTAAAACTATGGACCAAATGAAGCAATTAATATAGTGATGATTCAGGACGTTAACTTGAGGTAATTGAGCGCCTCAATTTTCTGTCGAAGTATGGAAATCATGTAATATTTCTTTATGATTGTTATGGAAGTATGGAACTAAATAAGTTCATTAGTACATGTAAATTGAAGGTGCAGGAGTTCGGTGGTCAACAATTACGACCACGCAGACTTTTGTTTACAAATGCCTACTTCTTGCCATTTCACCAATGAATACTAATTATAAACGTGTCTGGTGATAGCAAAACTTAATAGCGAAGAAATACACCACACAATTTTCCTTCTCCGGGTGAATTGTGAACCACAAATAAAATTTCTACACATGTCCGGGTAATCATAGAACGTAGTGGGCAAGAAATACAAAATGCATTTTTCTTCGTCCATATATGAAAAGCCATATATATATGCATGGGGAACACAAATGCATGCTTTTCACCATAGAAACCTTCCTCCCCAAGTTGCTAGAACCCAGTAGTCAACAATTGAGGTCCTAAATTGTCCATATATGAATGGTGTAGGTTAAACAAGTCAGTCAACAACTAAATGAGAAATAAATGAAGGATTGATTTTTGTTTTCCTCTTTTGTCCGGTAGTGAAACAGTAATATGTGAGTAGGATTTCCAAAATGAATAGTGAACCTGAAATCCTCTCTTTTTAAGAGAGTAGGTTATTAATTCACAATCAATTTTTAGCATAAGAGAATTTTAGTAGCACCATTCCCCTCTGACGGATGGTCAAGTGAAGGTTGTGACCTGCTCTCTAGGTGATCAGCCACATAACTTGGTTTGCTAGAATTAAAATCTTCTTACTTTTCCTAGCAAGTCCTGTCTTCATGGTAAAGCCAAAGATTTCATGGAGTAGCTTGTGGAGACGCATCACCTCACTCACTCACGATTGATTTCCCCTTCACTGAAATATAAGCTCGTTGTTAGAGATTTCGTTCTAGCTTTTCTGCCTAAAGATTGTGTTCATTGTATTAACTTGAATTGGCCCTCTAAATATCATTGAGAAAATTATTCAGAATGTCCCTCCATTCACACCTACCTAACCATATTGAAATAGTTATGTATCCTTAACAATATAAAAGAGCGAGTTTCCCGTCCTGCACACGTGTCGCAATTACTTATCGTCAACCTTTATGGCGTCGTTTTTGCCCGTTTTCATTTCATTCTCAAAATTCGGCAATGAAACTGTCAAATTGTTGCAGGCTCTGAAATCTTTCAGCTTGCCTTTCGCTTCTCAACCGCCGAGAAATCGCATGAAAAATAGCAGCCAGAAGTAGAAGAACAATAAGGCATCAGAGATCCAGCCACTGGAGATGATATTCAAAATTTACAGATTTTAATATTTGATTTGTGAATTGCTATGAATGAATAATGAAATTAATGATGAATTTTCAAGGAGTTGTTGGGAATGAATTCTGTGAATTTTGACTCAAAATGAAAAAAAAACCTAGGCCTTGTCTTCGTGCGCACACCTTTTTTTTTTTAACGTTGAGATACATAATACATATTCTTTTATTAGCCTAAAATTCTCCGAAAGGTTGTGGAGAGAAATGAAATAAGATGAATAAATTTGAGAGAATTTCTCTTTCTTTTTTTAATTATAGATTAGGTTATAATTGATAGTAATAAGATGTATGGGAAATTTTTTTTTTATATTTCATCATTACAATATAAAAGGAGCAAAACACTTTGTAACACATGTGGCGCTTTCCAGAATTATTACTGAATTATTTCTTAGTAATAATTTCGATCACCGCCTGGGGCGTTGCCCCTGGACCTCACGAGGGGGCGCTGCCCCCTCGACCCCACGACCCGACCAGTTTGGTCGATCACCGC